TGCATTTTAAAAAGAGAAAACAATGAATTAGCCCACTCTCATGTGGGAAATCATGTTTTGTCAAAGGGAGTGATTAATATCACTAGAGTTCTGTTTTATGAGTATGGTCCTGGGAATTAGAGCATAATCTTATTAGTGCCATTCCTGATAACCTTGCAGTGAACCAAGAGGAGGAGGCAGATGATGACAGACATCATGATGAAGGAGAAGCAGCAGGAAACTTTTTCTAGGAAGTATACAGAATTCTATACATCTGTGTTTTGCTTTCTGTTCCTTATGTGTTTCTGGAAGCAACAATGGAGGAGATGAGAGATACAGGAAAGCAGTGCTTGCACTGAGAGAAATAGTACAAGGAAGACTGAAGAAAGCAAGTTCAGAGAAGAGCTTGGTGGAGGAACAGCAGATTAGTGTGTATTAAAGGTATCTGTGGAATATTTAGGAAGATCCTGGAGAATTCTCTTCTACCGCTCTGATTGCCAAATCTGTTATTAACCTACCTTTATCACAATGTGTAGCCTGCTCTTTGTAACTTGTGAACCAGGATCAGTTTTGTCTCTCCTGGTAGTAGTAGAGGGGTGTGGAAGAGCTGGAGTCAAGAAAGAGAGGGATCACCACAAGGCAGCACTGGTGAGTTCCCCAAAGCCCAGGAGCTGGGGTGTGGGCAGGTTTTGAGGAAGCTGGAATCTCATTAGGACTGGGAAGGAAAAGGGAGCTGGCTGATCACAAAAGCTGGAAAGCTCTCAGGTCATTCAAGGTGGAACTGGATTTAAGACTTTACATTGTAGATGGTGAAAGGGTTTAAGGCAGCTGAAGGGCAGACTTAGCTATTGGTAAGGACCTGTCTGAGGCACTACATACCCAGCATGCACAGGAGTGTGATCACTGGTTTAGTCCAGCTTAACAAACACTAGTGAGGTCAAATCAAATGTTAGGTAAAATAGTTCAGCCTACACCCTGTCAAAAAAAAGGGGAAGGAACATAACCCATGTGACATTTTCAGAAAGTTATTGTGAGTTCTTATGTGTTTCTTTCATCTTAATTTAAGTTCACAGAAAATAGGTAGTGTCTTTTGCTTTCCCTTTGCCAGTGAGGTGCAGGAAAATGAATATAGTCCACAGAGTGATTGTTAAAAAACAACTTGTTTTTTAATTCTCTTAACAATAATGGTAAATACTTGACTTAAAAAGCTTGATAGCATAGTGAAAAAGTAATTTCTCTAGTCAAACCGTAATCATGTTGGGAGACAGTATAAAAGCATAAATGGAAAAGGTCAAAGTTGTAATGAAAAACATGTCTTATTCTTAGAATTTTATCCAAAGAATCGGGAGAATATATTTTTTTTTTACTTAGGAAATTACTGTACTCTAATTGGTATCAGTGTAATGAATACCAGCTCTTTAGGGGACCAGATATTATGAAAGGGTATCAGGAAACTTGGATTTGTATCAGAGATTAGCTATGGCCGTATTCATGGAATAGAAGTGTATCACAGTCTTCCAGCAAACCAGCTGGATGCCTATTGGCATTTTAAAACAAAGGACTCTGATTCCATTGATGGCAATAACAGTGGTGCCATTGGATTCAGTAGAAACAGAAGGTTCTTACTTCTGATATGAAATACGGGATCTTTTTATTATGCGTAAGAATGTTTTAAGTGTTTTTATTTTTTTTTTTATTTGCTTCTCTCCATCTCTTTTTTTTGTTGTTCTTTTAAGTATTTTCAAAGGCCATCTCTGTGTTTATAGTAAAATGCTCTAGGTTGTCATGTTACGTTTGGAAGCTCTGACATTTTGTGCTTAATGCAAAGCAAAATCTCAGCAATAGGAAAAGCTGAATAAGGTTTTCTTCATCAGTGCAGCAGTTGCCAGCTAGTAGCAATATGGTAAACCCTTCTTTTCCTCTTGGTGCAAACATCATTAGAAAGCTTTGCTTGTGTCAAAATTATTTGGATGCTCAAAGAGATGTACAATCTTTTGAATGAAAAACAATGGTATCGTTCCATTCTTTTATTGCCTGCTGACTTCTCTATAACCATAGGTTGAGCAGTCATTTTTCTGAAAACAGGTTGAAACTGTTGTCTTGAAACTGATTATCTGGGACTGTAGTGGTCTGTGTTTTTGTGGGTTGGTTTGTTTGTTTGTTTGTTTTTGTTTGTTTTGGGGGTTTTTGTTTGGGTTTTTGTTGTTTGGTTTTTGTTTGGTTTTGGTGGGTTTTTTGTTTGTTTTTTTAGTGTTTACTAAAACTCATTTATCCAGTCCTGAATAGGAATGTGTGGCAGGGGCTTCCAAATATTCAGACTGGTAGTTTTCCAGCTGCCACTAACTGATCTTTCTAGTTAAGAAATGAGCTTGGTCCTGCTCTCTGGATCTATTAGAAAATCAGATTCAGCTAAACATGCAATCAGTGAACTATTCACATTGCATCAACTAAGTTTTTATAAATGTTCTGGGCTTTGCTTCTGCTCTGCATTCTGTGACACTTAAAGGTTAATCCTTTATTGCATTTTGTTCAAATCTACAATGTAGCTGATCATTTACTGAAGAACAGAAAAAGCTAAACTGATTAACCTATTACAGGAAACCACAGAAAGTAAACTCTTGCATGGGTTTAGATGAAAAGAAGGAATAATTTAAATTAAATCTACCAAACCAGCAATTGGAGCTAATGTGATAATGGATATGATTGATTATTAATACAGTATTTGCTGATCTCATAATTTCAACAATTCTGTAATTGTTTAGGAGTTTGCAAATCAGATAGGACCCTCTGAATGTTAAAAAAAAGTCTGAAATGGGAATCTTCTCTGTTTTCCCTTCTGCTTCTGTTCACCTTGAAAATTCACAAGGTGTTATTTGGCAATTGCTTAGGTTAGGACTAGTGTCAGAAATTGTAGAGATGTGCTCAAAGTTATTCTGTAGATGTTTAGTGAAATTACCCAAGCTCCTGATATAGACAGTCAATATTCATATCATAAGTAAATGTAAGAATTTTTATTCAAGAAGTTTGCATTGTATTTAGAAAAGATTATTTTCAATACCGGTGTAAGCGTTCTAAGAGTTACTTTAATTTGAATTCAAGATCAGATTCCTCCATTTAATTTGGTGTGCAAATTGGCAAGGATTAAATGTTTATTTAATGCATATTGTTTAGCTATATGTTCCTTTCATAACATGCAGTTTGACACAGACAGAGATCCTTAGTAAACGTGTGAGATAAAGCTGGAACTTGAGCTGTGTGAAACATCACTTGATTATGTTTTTTCATCACAGAAGCCTTAATAAGTTATTCTGCATTTAAGAACTGTTCCAAATACCATGATACTATCCAGGACAGGCTAGGCATCCTTTTTCTGTTTCATGATTGCAAATCGGGTTCCTTGCAACCCTTTTCCCATTCGCTGGCTTGGAACAGATGATTTTGTTTCCTTCAGACAACCAATCACAGTGCTTTCGAGATAAGAGATTCTTAAATATCCTGGAATATCCATACATTTACTGCTCTTCAGAACACAGCTGTAAAACCTGGTGGCACATGCACTTTTTTTTTCCCCAAGGAAACACTAACTCAACAAAATATGAAAGCTCCCGCATGGGCAAATATATTTTAGCACCTTGCAGTTTAGATAGTGTAGAGAGTATGATGTTACAAATTTCCTAATTTCACTTACTTCTAACAACTGTTTCACTGCGTGGTGAGAAGAAGTCTTGACATTGAATTCAGGGCAATGGGCTTGCAAGCCATTTTCTCTTTGTGCCAACCACTCTGATAAAACACATCTTAACTTTCCAGTATTCCGAACTACACTTATTCATTTATTATCTCTCTGAGAATGTCAGAGCAGAGTGAGAATATCACAATTATGGCTTCCCCAGTTATTGCACATGATTAGTTAGTCATGAAATCAGTTTGGACATCTGCTTTTGCCCACATGATAACAACTCTGTAAAGCCACTCTAACAGTACCTTTGGGTTAAAATTGTACTGTGCTACTTCAGATATTGGAACATTGCCTTCCATGATTTTCCTTGCTTGATCCATCTCTAGGCTGGTGGCACGTAGGATGCATTGTAGGATTATTTTATTTAGGATGGTTTTTGCAGGAGCAGCACTGAACACAGTGCAGAATGGTTATGGGTTTGGAAGGGTTTTTCTCCTCTCTTCTGAAAATACTGGTAAATCACCAAGAGCTTAACCTTCCAGCAGAGTTGAATAGTCGATGAAAATTAGAAAAAAGTTAGCCCTTCCACAATTCCAGCCTTTTATGTGTACATTTTCAAGAGCATTTTGAAACTGAAATGGACAATATATTTCAAAGATTTTTGATGAAAGTATCCAGGTCCATTTTCTGTTTTAAACATTATTTTTTGTGGATCTCTAAACCAGACCTCTTATCTCTGATTAACATTTTTGGACGTGTTAACAAATATTTTTCCACTTAGGAATACAGTGAGTGTCCTTGTATACTTTTTACAGCTCTAGATCATCACAAGTTAAGTAAATAAATTCTTGATAGAACACCACCTAAATTCGCAGTTTCATTGGATGGATATGAATATTGCTCTGGTTATTTAATCACTGCTCTGTGAAATACAAAAAATTGTGTATACTGTCACATAGGATTTTCAGAGTTACCTGTAAAGCTATAAATATCTTCTCAAGGTACACCCAGGCTGATAACTGAAGACAGGATGGAAAATACATCATGGAATGGTTTGGGTTGGAAAGGATCATAAAGATCATCTAGTTATAGCCCCTCTGCCATGGGCAGGGAATCCTTCCACTATCCCAGATTGCTCCAAACCCTGTCCAACCTGGCCCTGTACTCTTCCAGGGATGGCGCAGCCACAACTTCTCTGGGCAGCCTGTGCCAGTGTGTCTTCACCTTAGGAAAGAATTTCTTCCTAATGTCTGGTGGAAATCCCTCTTTCAGAATAAAACCTTTGTTCTTTGTCCTATCACTACATGCCCTTATAAAATGTCTCTCTCTGACTTTTTTGTAGGCCCCCTTTAGGTACTGGAAGGTGCTCTAAGGTCTCCCTAGAGCCCTCTCTCTCAACCTGTCTCCATAGCAGAGGTGCTCCAGCCCTCTGAGGATCTTTGTGGCCTCCTCTGGACCTGCTCCAGCACAACCCTGAAACATGAGTGCGGAAACAGGTAACCAAAAGAATTAGTGACAGGGAGAAACACTGCAAGCACACAGATAGTGATTTGATGTCTGCATTTCTGGTCTTCAAAGTCAGCATCCTTATCAGGGGAAAAGTGCCAACTTCCAAAGATGCTGAGTCAGTACTGTGATGTCCTGGTCTGCTCGGGAAGTACTGGTTCAGGTCCAGTATTCCACTGGAATGACAGCAAGATGCAAAGAATATATATTGTGACCTATTCCTTTATTTTTTTTCTGTGCTGAAATACTGTTCTTCAATTCTAAAGAAAATGATATGTTGATGGTACAATAATTAATATTTTGAGAACAGGAAGAAATGGCACAAAGGAGGCTCATAACAGCATCTGTTCTGAAGATATCTTAATGAACCAAGCAGACACATTTGGCTTGTCACATTTGGCCTGTGACTTTTTGTACTTCACTGCAAGAGGAGTAACAATATACATTCCTAGAGAATTGTGTAGGAAATACAAATATTCTGCTTCGGGAAATGCTTCTGAAAACCAGGCTGAACATGCATGTTATAACTTAAAGAAATAAATGGTATTATAAGAGCGACATTAGGATTTTGAGGAACATTTTTTTTTCCCCCTGTGGGCAGATTATCCTGTAGTTGCCCACTGCAGGGTTTTTGAATTTTCCCTGGGAAACATCACATATTTGATCACCAGGAACAACAGGATTCTTCACTAAATGATTCTAAGGTCTTTGGGAGTAGCGTCTGTGTCATCTTGGAATAAAGCTCTGACTTGCCAGTCACGTTTAGGAATTACATGCTATGCATAAGTGTGTGATATATCTAAATAGGTAATAAAAATACATTGAAATGTATTATTTAATATTTATTATGATTATTAATCTTCTGAGACCTATTACATCATTCTGCTTTACATCTCATTACCTTGTATTCCACAGAAGAGAATTCAGTAAACTCAAGGCTTATATTTGGGGACAGAGGGGTATGAGCATGGACAGAGTGTGTGGTACCATTTCTACCATTTTGATAAACTGTTGCCTTCTTCATAAAAGAACATATATATAAATCCATCTAACACCTCCGTACTTAATTGTTTTAATAAGCTGTTTCCTTTTCTATCATCAATGGTGTAAATACAAGCAATGCATTACGATATTTGTCACTCATTTGGTCTGTTCCTTTAAATGAAGTTTTAGTGTTGTATGCTGGGTAGAAATATTTCTTTGATGACTTGTTAATAATACTTTCCTTTTTCCCATCTGGATTCTGTCCTGCAGTACTATTAACAGCTGCAAGATGTTTCAGTGCAGAGAGTGTATTGAAGAATAAAAACAGAGACAGTATTGGGAAAGTTTCAGAATAAAGGCTCGGGGTGGACTTTTGCAACTTAATTGCAACTTACTCTTCCTGCTTTGTCCAATTGCTGTCAACTGCTCTTTTTCTCTTAAAAGGAGTCTATCTTTTTTGATCTCACAACTTGTGTTTAGTTTCTGCATTCATGCATTTACATCTTGGGCCATTAATGTGAGTATGTAGTGTTTGAGATGCTTGTATCAACTATGATTTGTGAATTTATTTAGGAAGAATTTTTAAATTGTATATGACAATGTAAGAGGGAAAAGAATGGAAGTTAGTCATGAAGGTCAGACAAATATTTTAAAACTGAAACACTAGCTGTGTCTTAGCATGTTGTAAGGGCAAAATATGTATTTTGCCATATGGATGGCAACTGTGGAATTTGCTTTCTTTTTTAGCAGATTTGTTACAATTGGACAACAGTATAGCTGTTTGGAAAGCATATCCTACTCATTCTGCTTACTGACACAGTGTTTGTTTCCTTTCAGATGCAGTTTCCACATCTGCTTACTCATCACCAGCCAAAAGCTTGGGAGACCCTGGAATAACTCCACTGTCTCCTTCACATATTGTGGTAAGAAGTGCACTCTTAACATATACTGTGTGTTGACGTTACTTTCTCTTGCCTGTTTAGTGGGACATAATTTCTTCAGAAAACTGTCACTTTCTCACATAGTGATCCCCTTTATGCTATCCATAGGATTAAGTGAAATTTTGGTCGCACTAGGGTTGGTGACAGAGCTCCCATTCATTTAATTTCATTGTGGTCCTGGTGTTGATGTTTTGTACTTGCTGCATGCTTTTGTATCAAACACAGGGGCTTCTTGATCCTCAGGGTTCCCAAGTTCTGCCCCTATCTTTATCACTGATTTATATAGGCAGACCCTGAAAACTCTCATTTAGAAAAAAGCAGAAGGATATATATGATACTCAACAGTGAAGTCCAAATTCCTAGAGAAAAGAATCTTATCCTATAGATATATACATCTAGAGAGAGAAGCTCAAAATAGAACTGGTTTCATTTCTTAAGGAAAACAGCAACTTCTGTAAGCATTTAGAAGCAAGCAAATGTCCCCTAAAGGTTGTGTGTTTTAATCTCTGGCACATTGTGCTGATTTTGTTGATGAAATCCTGTTAAGTCTCATGTGTTTTTAAGATCATCTGTATGATTTGTAACACAGGAAATGCACAGTCAGACTTCTGCCTTAGCTTTCTGAATCAAGTTCAGAGTTGTGCATGAACCATCTTGAGGATTTCCAGTGTTCTCATAATTTTTTGCTTTTATTCTCTTATTTCTCTATATATTCTAGAACTTGCCATTTTACTTCTGTCATCCTGATTAATTTACATCCTATTTCAGTTACATTTGCTCCTTAAACTCTTTGAGGAAGACATATAAAGAGCATACTGTCCTAGTTGAAAAGCTTTATCAGGAGAATCCAAACAAATCTTTCACGATTTGAGACTGAAACTTATTACTCTTGTTTCTCCCTTTTAAATAACAGGCCTATGGGATATCTTGGCAAAAGTAGGGGCACAGTAGAAATGTGCTGAAAGTAGTAGGCATGAAACTAATGGAGATATGTGGGGAATACGGTGGAACACTGCTCACAGAGTGAGAACGTTTGGCAGTTCCTCTGTAAAAGATAACGACAGTGGCTTCAGTTCTCTTGCCTTGCTAAGTTGTTCATGCTTTAACCCCCATCAGCATGTGGAGAGTAGTTCTTTGATGTTTTTTACTTACTCCTCCTTTATACAGGGTTTAAGTTAGGCAACACCCTCCTGTGGAACAGTACAACTTCTTGTTTATTTACACCATGCTTTATATTAAATCATTATGATTTGAGCCATAATCCTTCCAGCTCTTCTAGTTAGCATTGCTACATTGCCCTTGAGTGTGCTTTTCAGGGATTGCAGGATTACAGGTAAAAGGCAGGAAGGAGGCTTCATTCAAATTCACCATAAGCAGCCAAACAGCTTTCCATGTTGTAGCACAGGCAGGGGGAAAGAATGCATGTAGTGCTTACAAAGTAAGTGTTATGTAAATTCTTCATAAATAAATAATTTTCATGGGATGCAAAGCTTATTGCTGAATTTTGGGTTGTTGTGTCTCTGTTATTTTTAAATAGTAATAGTACCTCATGTTCAAGGTTATCACATAGTTAACTCCTAAAACCACCAAATAAGTCCCAAGTACATCACATGGATGGAAATAAACATATTCTTCAGTTGATCAATTTAAGAAAAAAACCCCAAAAAACAAAAGGACCCCAAAACCACAAGTTTTACAATATAGGATAAGAAGTATTTAAAAAATTAGTATGAAGGAAACTCTTGATCAGAAGGTTATATGTAAAAGGCTCTAGCAAATATGTTGAGTCATTGAATTTCCACTTCCATTGGAATGTGCAGCTTTTTGGTGTCAGCTTTGGTCACAAATGCAACTGTAGGGAAGCTTTTATTTTATATGCATGTCACAGAGAGCAAGAATACTGACGAGTCACAGTAATTCTGATCAGTTACTCAGTGTCTGTTTTGCTTCTGCTGTTTAACAGAAGGACTCTGATGCAGATGATGCTGTAGAACAGTTATTTCTTGTTGTTGTGGCTATTGATTTTGGCACAACATCCAGTGGCTACGCCTACAGCTTCACCAAGGAACCAGAATGTATTCATGTAATGAGGTAAGGGCTGCAATGCAGCATTTAGTTTTGGATTGTGATAACATGGGGTGTCTGCAGTAGCCATAGGTATTTTCTGCAGGAACCTGAAGTGTCTAGATCTGTCTAGAGATAGTGTGAATATTTCTCATGATTATAACTTTTTGTTGCATCTTAATGTATTCTATTTTGCTTTAGTAGTCAGTGGAACCATATCCTCTCTTATTTTGCTGAGTTTACAAGATGACACAAGTGAGAGGAGGGATCAGTGAGTATACAGAATTTTTCAGGGAGCAGAGTTAATTATTAGGTCAGGATACCCTTATCTTGAGATACTGAGAGAAACTACACTTTTACTAAGGGTCATGGCATTTCCCAGGAGTTGCCTATCCCCTGGAATCATGCTTGTGTACAACACTAAGTTACTTTCACCCAGAAACTGGTAGTTTGTTTGACTGGAGCTTTGTAGCGCTAAATTTGAATCCAGTCTGTGGTAATGAACTAGTGATACTGGGAAATAAGCAATCAAAAGGCATGAATGTGAAAATGAAGGTTTAATGTGAAACCTGTTCTGCTTTATATGTATGTAAGGGACAGACTTCAGATGCTTTAAAGTAGGGGGGAGTTGTTTGGTTTTTTTTTTTTAATTAAATTAACGCAATATAAATCAATACGATTGCAAATACAAAATCTATTACAGAAGCTATCTGGAAGGTGTGCCCTGCAAACCATTGTTACACTATTTTATAGTCTTTTTATTAAAAACCTATACAATTCTTATTGAAGTATATTTAAAATTACTGTGTTGTAATAAGACCAAGACAACTTCAGACATCAAGTATGTATGAAAAGCTCAGTCATAGAAACAATGCTGCTGTTACAGCAGTAGTTAATGTTCTGTAATACTGAGAACAAAAGGTCAGAAAGACTAATTTGCAGCAGTCCAGTGTGATATACTGCAATTTTTTTAAGCAAAGATACTGGCTGAATGCAGCTCCCTTAATCTCAGCAGACAGTATTGATTGTGCAGTCAACCTGCACAGTTGGTTTGTGTATGGTTGCAAAATGTTTCTAGTGCAACTGAGGGATTTGAAATACTGTCTAAGGGGAGGTAAATTTCTCAATGGTATTATGCCATCCAGCTGCAAACCACTTGCAGTAGGGACAGCTAATGCTTTCGAGGGCTTTTATGCGTTTCAACCCTCTGGTGTTCCCCGACCAGCACAGGAAGATGGCACGAGGCTGGAAGTCAAAGAACAGGCCGTGTGTTACTGTCTCAGAAAGGTTACAGGGTTGTCAAGCTGAAACCCAAGTTTATCGGTTCTTATTCTCTTTCAACAGCAGTAATTAATTAAAGTTCTCAAAGAAGTTGGATGCAATGAGGGAAGACATCTCCGAAGCTGTACCTGAGCAAGCCTAAAGTGTATATTCTGTGTTGTTTCTATAGTCCCTGTGGAGCTTTTACTATGTGAAATCACTGCCATTTCTGGGGAAGTCCTTTAAGTGCTTTGGACTGAAAATTTTACCTTAGGACCTGATTTTAACGTTGAGTTCACATTACAGACTAGATTCTTCTTCCAGGGTACAGGCATCCTGCGATCGATGGTTGGGATGTTGAAATCTAGGTGCTTTGTGCTCAGCTGAGAATATATTCCTAATCTTAATTGACTTTACTACTTATGGTTCAAAACATGGTATTTTCTTCCTAACACAATAATGGTAGCATGATTGTGATTTCAGAACTGTGTAGTTATTGTACGAGATACTGATATTGAAAGAAATTAAATAAACTACTTCATGATTTTCAACCAGAAGAGAGGAATATTTGGCAGGGGGGTGAATGTATTAGTATTTCCAATAGGTATTTCAAACAACGGAAAATATTTTAATACCAAGAATTATTTCAGTTTTTTTTTAATAAATAAATATGGCTGGCAGGGAGGAATTTTGGGGAAGATATAACTGACTTACCAAATAATGTATGTAATGTTTTTATATATATTTATATATAAATACTCATGAAATAATGAAATTCAATTAAAATAATGGTTTATTTATCAAAATAAGTCTTCAGTAGTTCAGAAGGTATTAAGAGGTTCAAACTCTGTATATAATGAGGCTTACATGTAGGATAATTTATAAATATTTCAGGAGAGTAAATGTAACTTCCCACCCACACTCGAGAATGTTTATGTTAAAATAAAGCATACCACTGATGCATGGTCCTCTGTGCTTCCTAACGTTTTTTCCACCTTTCCCTCCTTAGTGTTGATCCTTTCCAGATACTTAGATTTCTGACTGCCTTTTAACAAAGCTGCTTTTCTGTAAATGTCTCAGGGAAGGATAAGATGGGTTTATTTAGAAGGTTCTACTTTGGAAAAGAGTGAACATAAGGGGCTTTAGCAGTAAGTTTGAGTGTAGTGTCAGCAGCACCATGATTCTAGTCCTGTAATTAGTAGGCAATTAAAGTCATGTTTTTGTGTATGTTTATTTGCTGTGATGTCCAGTACTAAAACAAAAATGAGTTTATAAGTGTTGACCTGACAAAGTTCTTTAAGCATATACTTACCTTTAAATGTATGAGTAGCCTCACTCATGTCAGCATGTGTTTGGAGTTGGGTGTGTTTTTTGATGAACAATGAATGTCTTCACTTGGCTTGCAAACCATTGGTTACTGTTTTATCAGTGTTAGGTACAACTTCACACGTGACAACTCTTGTAATTTCCCCCCAGCTTCTCTTAAAGGTAGTTGTGGTTAACTTCAGATTCTTGTTGCAGATTAGGAGTATGTGTTATGCGCTGTACCTTGACATTGTGAGTAAATGCAATGAACAACCTGGCCAGGAATTCATCACTTCAGTAGACAGGGCAGTGCCAAGGCCATAATGAAAGTTTGCTGCTGTAGAAGGAGTTATTAATGTCTCATTTGGAGGGAATACACGAGCTAGTACACAGTTTTGAAAAACTCCTAGTGATTTATATGCCATTATATGAAGTTACAAATGTTTTGGCTACTGGTTAAATATCAACAAACTGAATGTGAATATTTCACAAATGGAGAAAAATAAATGGAAAAATGCGTGTGGTTGTGAAACAAATTGCAGCCTTTCTTTGGAAGGAGGGAGATAGTCGTCTCTTTTCAGTGTAACTTCCACCTTCAGGTTTTATCTTTTCTTTCTCTTCCCTGGCTTGTAGTTATCGGGAGACACACACTTGCCTTTCTTCTGCATAAACATTCCTAGTGGCATTTATCTGCATTTTGATGATTGCAGTCTTTCATTTCCTTGACTGTTTTGCTGCAGCTCTGGATCAAATTCTCATCACTCTGCACAGATCACTCTTTGGTCTGTCTTTTAGCCAGACTGAAGTGTAAGGAAGGACATTTCTCTAACCTTAGTATAACCTGGTGGCCCTTTCCTCACTAACTTTCTTCATCTCTATTTTCACTTCTAATACACAGTTAAGATGTTGTGTGGATATAAACAGGTCTGTGCTGTTTGTATCACTGTTGGCGTAATCCATCTATATCAGCCTAGAAACGCATATGTCTGCATTTGGGCAAAAATCTACCTTGATTCTGTCTGAATAGCTTTTTTAACTCTGATTCTGCTCTGAGAAAATATCCCCCATATGCATTTAGAGCAATTCTGGCTTGTATAGGTTTATGCTTTTAATAGGTGTTTTATTTTTGTTTTTCTTAAGAGCGTTATTATTATTATTTTACCTGTTTTGGTGCCAAGAAAGAAAACTGCAAATGAAGGTGTTGCAGTCCGAGCTCTACTGACTAGAAGCCCCCACTAACTGGAGTGAGGCCAGAGCTCCACCTGAGAAGATTGCTGCAGCCAGGGCTTGCCATTTATGTACCTTTGCTGCTGCTTCTCTCTAGAAGAGTGTCGCATGGCAATATTTTTAAGTCTCTGATTACAAATGGTTGTCATATTTCGCTTTCTCTTTCCTTATTGCCCTTTCTGTGACTGAACAATAATACAGACTAAGCAATTATCATGTCTAGTTTTCATCAGAAGCTCATCAGGAAGTGAGCATCCAATTCTCTGGGCGGCTTTGAAAATTTCAGCCTGTAACATTGAACATAAATTTATCTTCATTTAAACCGCACCTTAAGCTTACTTATTCCGGAAAGAGAAGATGTGCCTGGCTGTAATGAAAAACAAAGAAGTATTGTTGTTAACCACAGCCTATTTATGGCATTTCCCACCAGTGACTCAGAATGAATCATTAATGAATCCAAGAGAAAATGATATCAGTCTGTCTCCTCTCTGCTTGCAGCGGGTGTGTGGGATTTAACAATCTGGTGAAATAGCAGTGTTTTCTGTTCATAGGTTGTGAGATCCCAGCTTCTTCACGTTGGAACCACATGTTTGCTGTAACACCTACTCAAAGATTTTGGAGTTGACCAAGTGCATTTCTAGCAGCAGGTTAGAGAGAAATGACCTGGAGCAAAGCCCTTGCCAGCTGCTCATAGCTCGGGGGCTGAGTAGTGGAACTAGGGAGGTTTAGGAAAGTTTTTTCAAGTTGATGAAGATGGAAATCATTCCACTCCTCATCATACTGTTTCTGCTTTCAGAGCAGTGGAATTGTGCTCTACACTGAATAAAGTTCAGACATGTTATTCTCTGCTGTCGCTGCTGCTTGTGCAAAAAGGGGCAGATTTTGCTCTGTTGGATCCAGCTGAATGGTCTGAAGGGTTCCCAGCACTTTACAAGATCCTGGTCCTTGTTACTTTGCCAAGTGTCAACCCCTTGGATTGCAGTTTTCCATGTCAGTTTTCTGCCTTGGTCTGGGGGTCAGTTTATTTTCAATGGATTCAACTGTTTTTGAGAGTGAAATGGAAATCATTTTTCTGCATAATCTGCCTATGTCACATAAACAACTACCATAGAGCAAGGCAGCCCTTTTGTGCTTCAGAATAAGGACTTTGGAAGGAGTATATTCTGAAAGTGCTTTTTGCTATCTTTAGAAAAAAGCAATCGACGTGTAGTTTAATAATGAATGCAGTTGCCTGTGTGATCTTAACTTGGCTCCTGTTTGAGCTGTGTTATGATTATGTCTGAGAGCATAAACAGATTTTCTACTGATGCCTTTTTAAGAAAATCTTTTCTGGTAAATGTTTGTTTCTCATACTGAACGTACTTGTATGTGGTGGGGGAGGAACAGTCATGTGAGTTTCTTGTTCTTCCATTCTGCCTTGGGTTGTTTTGTGATGGGAAGTGAGGAGAAGACAGGAATGCTTACAGCTGTCTCTGAGACGACTTTCTTACTGTCTGACCTTATTGTCCTGCCAAGCCCCCCTGCAATTCCTGCTGCTGCTGCTCCCATATTTGAGGTTCTTTTTTATTTTCTTATCTATTCTGTGAAACAAGCTTTGGGTTACATTTGCCTTACTACTTTTATGTCTCTTGGGTATCCTCAAAGATACCTTCACAAACTTGATAAGAGAGGGTAGAAAGGTAAGAGGATAGATTCACGAGTAGTGACAGAAATATTTTGGTACCTTTAAGATACTTGGGGGGTATGCTTAATTTTTGACAGATTAAAACTTTTACAGCGTTTGGGGCATTTAAAACACAAAATTCATCAACTTCAGGTGAGTAGAGAGTGCAATGCAGAGAGGTCAACATCTGCAGGCGTGTCTTCAGAGTTTCAGGTGTACAGGAAATGAGGCACATGGTCAGATGGTATTTGAACTGGCTCACCTTGTTTCAGAGAGTATTCTGTGACAGAAACAGAGATTTGATCAACTTCTCCATAGTGGTGTGCAGATGGCTTGAGCAGGTCCCTAATTCTGAATGGGAAAAATATGCCATACAAGTAAGCATTCATGGAACCTGATAAGAAATTGGATAGCCCAAATTTGCGTTTTTATTGGTTGTGTTCCTGGATAGTTGCCTTTTCTTTTCTGTACAATTTTTATTACATTTGTATGCTTAATTAGAAAATTTTAGTACAAAACTGTTTCCTTTTTAATTGTGTATGTCTTCAGGGAATCTGTATTCTTTTCTGAGTACGATTATGTCCTTAAGAATTAAACAGCTAACCACAAAATGTATTGAATTACTTGAAATGAAGATTGCAGTCCTTTTTTCTTAGGTGGAAATAAATCCATTTGGTTTTGGTATTGCAGGGTTTGAAATTAGTATCTTTGGAGGGAAAAGCAGTCTCTGAAATTTGCCACCACATTGTTTTTCTTGTGCTGCACTTGTTTCTTTTCTGCTACTCCAAACTTGAGCATCACTTACTGAAGCTGTTTCTCATTTTTTGATTAGACGATGGGAAGGTGGAGATCCAGGTGTATCCAACCAGAAGACACCAACCACTATCCTCCTAACTCCAGAAAGAAAGTTTCATAGTTTTGGCTATGCAGCAAGAGATTTCTACCATGACTTGGATCCCACTGAATCGAAGCACTGGTTGTATTTTGAAAAGTTTAAGATGAAACTACATACCACTGGTGTAAGTAATAACCAAGTAGCATTTGCTACTCACATTATTTTCCTCTGAACAATACAAGATCCTCAGATCTAGTCAAGAATTGTCAACTCAGATTGTCAACTAGATGTGAAGCAGCTCCATTTCTAAGTTTAGAGAGTAAACTGAGCAAATGGAACTCTTAGTTGAACATGATTCATTTTGCTTCTCACTGCATTTGGCAACTGTATTTTGCCAGCCTTCTTTCTAAATCTTAGAAGTTCAGTATCTGCTTTGCTTAGATCTGCATGACCTAATTTTTCTGGGTGAAATTCATAGCTGTCTGGGGAGTCTGCATGAGTTGGTTTGTTCTGTAAATCTAGTCAGCAGAAATGGAATGTAAGAGCCATACTGAGTTCTAGCGCAGAAGAGCAAATTCACCCAGAATTTGTTGCCAGAACTGCAAGTGCAAATCATACTGTTAATTTGACGTTATTCCTATTGATTATATTTTTGTCTTTAATCCATTCTAGAGTTTTGGGAATCAGCCAGTACTTTCTCTGGTGAGGTGTTTTCTCGTTTCATGTGATGGTGGGAAGCCAAAAATCTGTGCTTTTAGCTCTTAACTTGGCTTAAATTTCTTGCATATGCAGCTTTGTTGCAATTAATTACAGATACACTTATTGCAATTATTTAATATTTAATACACATTTCTCTCTCTGCCTGCAGTTATCTGTAGACATGGTAAGTGTTTAAAAACAATGTCTAAAATAAGCAGCAATATGTCATGCTCCAGGAAATTCAAGTGATGAGTTAAGTCCTCTTCAGAACAATTTTTTCACTTTTTCCTAACCAGGTGGATAATGAGGATTCGCTTTCTTCAAACGATGGGAATAAATTTCATGTTTACCTTTTTCTTCTAGTAACTTCCTGTTATTTTCTTTCATGTAGAATCTTACCATGGAGACAGACCTGACAGCTTCAAATGGCAAAAAAGTCAAAGCACTTGAGATATTTGCTTATGCTCTGCAATTCTTTAAGGAACAGGCGTTAAAGGTGGGGTAATACTTCCTTATCAAGATCTTCTGTATTTAGAACTGGTATAAATATGAGCTTAACACTTTTAACCTTGCCAAATTTTGACCTCAGTAGTATTTGATGTAAACAAAGCAAGGCAGGTGTAAAAACCCTGGGCAAGCTATGGACTCGAGAAGCTCACAGAAGTCTGAAGTATTATTTTCAATTTTCCATTTGTAATGTTGCAATACTTGTTTCTTTTAATGTTCTACTTGGATCACAAGATTGTTTATTGTGTTTTCTGGTGAAACACGTGGCCCCCAGTAAACTGGTTTTGAGATTTAAAACCTCAGGTAAACAGTCAATTGTGAATTAAGTAAACATTGGCTTCAAACGTGCCACTATAATATCAATGTAAGCATAGCAGTTCCTGGGTCAAGTCAGAATATTCATCCCAGCAAACGTTGTTTATAATAGCCTTGTTGCTAAAAGCTAACCTACCTTTTTGAATGGGTTTAATTTATTTTCTCTGAGGTCTCAGTCTCTTCTTTATGGCTGCAGAGAAACAATCCTACCACTACAATTCAAATGCCTCATCGTTTCAAAGACTTTTTAAAGTATTTTGTAGTTGATTGTGGAGTCACAATGACTCTGAAGCTGTGCACAGAGTGGGGAAATTCTTAGCAAATGTATATGTGGTGGGGTACAATCCCATATATTTACTGTGCTGCCTGTTCAAGGCTACATCCTTTCCTGATGTTAGTAACTAAATCCCTGGCATTTGTGAATAAATCCTGCAACTAATTAGACAAGCAGTGTAAGTGAGCTGTTACTTTGGACTATAATCTGTCCGTTTCTGGTGCTGTGTGCAGTATAAAGGTACTACTTTTCCAACATAGCTTAACTAACACAACACCTCAGCACATACAGAAACATTCTTTTATATTCTAAAGGCCTGTTGTTCACCTTTCTGAACCTTTCTATGTTTGGATGGAGATTTAGATAGGACATATGGTAATAACATTTTACTTGGAACCTTTCCCAAAACATGTCAGTATATCATCTAATTTTCAAATGCAGTACAGACTTCCCTCTTTTTAAGGGAAAAAAAAAAAGGACAGTAAAAGTACTAAAATAGTCTTGAATGTTTGCTTAAAGCAAAATTTTGAAGTAATTTTTTTAAAGGGGGGTTAACTATAACCTCCCCTTCGTAACTGCGTTGTAAAACTTTGATTTAAAGGTAAGTGGTGTATAAAGAAGTAATTGAAAAATCCAGTTTGTAAAACATAATGATCATCAGTGATACTTGGAATATTTTTTCTGTCTATTAATCAAGATGTAAGTGTGAATTCTTCAAGCTAACAGCAAATACCACACTGCAACTAGGAATGTATATAAATGTTCTGTAATACTCTGTACATTGCTGCTTTTGCAAAAACCACATTTTCTACTTCATGTTAGCAGTAAACTTTTCTATAGACCTCCTTGAGAAAGCTTCAACCCTAATCACACTTTTTGGCACAGTAAAGCATTCTTGACAGGTTGGAAGTAATGCTGACTCGTAGCATTGATGGAAAAGGAAGAAAATTGAAAAGAAAGAGTTACTGTTACTGGAACCAGCAGAAAATAGAATTCTCTTATAAAGTAGACCTATCATTTTGCATTCACCTCTATTTTCCTTTTATTTAGGAGCTCAGTGACCAGGGAGGCTCGGACTTTGAAAACACTGAAGTAAGATGGGTTATTACAGTGCCTGCTATTTGGAAACAGCCTGCAAAGCAGTTTATGAGACAAGCTGCCTACAAGGTAATATTACAGGCTGAATGTAGAAATGCCCCTTTAAAGCCCTAGTTGGTAGGCTAAATGATTAACTGTATTTGGGACAATTAGCTCTAGTATAAACTGTATAAATAACAGTTTAGAAACATTGAAAGAGGAGTTAAACTCTATCAAGCAGTAGATTAAGTTATATGTATTCACCTCTTAACTGCCTTTTTCTTTCTATTTACTTTTATATGTTCATGATCCTCACTGTAGGCTGATATTTTAGTCGTCCTGAACAATATATTTGAGCTGAATTCAGTGCACATGGAACAGATGCAGTTTTGAAACCCAAGGGAAAGTTGATTTTAAAATACTGGACGCAGTTTTGTTTTGTTAACTTTCTTTAGGTCATCACAGACTTTTAAAGTAAAAAAGAAAAAAAAAAGAGAGGGAAAGCAAAGAGCCTCCTTGGTGGGACTTTTTTTCCAGTTCCCGTTTTCCCACAGTAGGAATGAAAGGACTCTGAACTGGATAGTCTGGATAGAAAATTACATTCAAATGTTATTTTCATCAGTAAGGGGTTTATCTGCATTTAACTCTTTTTCCCCCAACCATCCCCCTGATATATCCACTTTCCATGTGCATGTCCTTTATTTCAGTTTTGGTTTGTGCCTTTAAGACACGAGATGTGCATTTTCATCAGCATATTCATTTTCAGTTTGGGGTTTTGTTTTGTTTTGGGGGTTTTGTTTTTGTTTGTTTCTTTTTGTTTGGGGTTTTGTTTTGGGGGTTTTTTGTTTGTTTTTTTTGTTTTGGTTTGGTTTTTGCTTTGGTTTTTTTCAATTCTTGGTCAGAGACTTGCATAACGCATTGGCAGCATCTGTGTGATGCACAGTTTGTAAAATATCTATCAGTTCATGAGTAATTTGCAGAGTGGTCCTGGGATGCACCTAGATTTTTCTAACTCTATTTCTATTTCTAATGTTGAGCAACGTTTTTCTTAACAGTCTGTATTGTGGGATTGCTAATGCTAGTACCAGAAGCAAAACACTCTTAAAGTTCTGATGGAAGGACACGGTTGTAGGTAAATCTGAAACACTAGAGACCCATTCATTATTCTGTATATTGTTGTCTGCCTGCTGTCTGTGTGCATGTGTGCTCGTGAAGTGGCAGCTGTGTAAGGAGCAGGGCAGGGTAATGTAGATCTCTTGGCATTTCTCATTTGTGGCACAATGGAATGTTGTTAATTAGTGTCTGTGTCTGTGGTTGTGTCTGTGATTGTGTACTATTATGGGCAAGCTTGATAAATAGCAAGGACTACCAAGGCTTTGAACTCGGGGTGTGTGATCAGCTGCAGGAGAATAAGAGTTTAGGGAAATAATTGATGTTAACTTGACACACGGTTGATTGTTTTTCAAGTAGCGGGATGAAGAAACAAACGCAGAAAACTGAGAATTCTGCATTGCCATTCAGTCTTTCAGATTCCTCTTGGTGGATCCAACACATTCCTCAAACCAGTATGTACAGATGGATCAGAAGTTGCAGCTCTTGTTGCTAGCTATTGGAAGATGCAAGCGTCTTGAAAATGAGCATTTTTGTTGTAAGAGTGATTGACACATCATGTAGAGAAAAGTGTGAAAAGTCAGTGGTAGAAACCCTCTTACTGGAAACACACTGCAGTACAACCAATAGTCTAAGCTGAGAGTTAACTAGTGGGAAATGTTAATGAGCTGTGAAAATCTGCCGAGTAATCTGGGTCAAGTGAGGTAGCTCTAAGAGAGCAAAAGCACTAAGGGCTTCAGTCACTGATTCACAACGTAAAGCCCAGCCTTTCTGGAATGGTTAAGTACTTGTCTAGGCAAAGCTTGTGGAATTAATCAAGTAGGATAAGAAGTGTTGGAGATCTGCTCCTGTGCTCAACATCTATCAGCTTTTGAACAGCCCACAATCTCAGTGCACCTCTGACGTCCCCTCATCTCCGTTTTGCCTTAAACAAAACATTGCTTACCTGGAACTCTTTAATCTGCACAAGGGCTCCTGCATAGTCCCCTTCCAGCTGCTGTGCTGCTTTCTCATCGAATGAATAATCTGGGTGTTCCCTTCAGCTCACAGTTCTTCCTCTCTGTTCCCATCCAGCCTATCCAAATCCTGCTAATTCTGTCTGCATGACAGCTTTTCCTGTCTGTTCATGCTGCTGAGCTTTCATCCAAGCTGTCAGTGATTTTGCATCTTGGTTACTCCAACATTGTTTCTTTGGCTTTTGGCAGCTGTGACGTGGTCTGGTTTGTATCTCTTCAGAATATTGCCGCTAAAGACTTCTGTAGCCTCGCATTTGACAGGGAATCAACCCACATTTGACTCCATCTGTGTCATCTCAGGCATAAGCTGCATGTCCTGGACATGAGTATCTGTATTGCTTATTCATTTTCCTCTCCTGAAGCCCTTTCTAAAATGCTGGTTTTTTCATGCCTACAAAAACTTGACTGTGATTAGTCTACTTATATGGGAAAACTACTTCTCATTGCTTCTTGCTGTTAGTCTGCCTGCCCTGTCTATATTCATCTATTGTGCTTTGTGTATCCTTAACTCTTTTTGTACCTGAGTTATTATTACCTCTTTGAAGCAGGTATTCATTTTTCTCATTTATCTTGCTTTCTGGGGCCTCCTGAGGGACTAAGTCTGGTAGGATGTAGAAAGTTGCATGTCTTCACGGTTTGCTTTGCAGAATCAAAATTGCTTTGTTCCTAAACAACAGGCACTTTTTCCTGTCCCTCGTGCTTAATTTCTGTGTGTCCAGAGATGGTTCTAAAGCTGTGTGACACTTGATAGGGTCTGGTCACAATTGGAGAGAGCTTTGTGGCAAGAGCAGAGTGTCAACTCTGTAGGACCCACTTGGGCTTAAATTTCCTTTCCCAAAACATGTCTGCTGGGATTAGTGTGTGCTGCATCAGTTTTTGTTACATCCTGAGTAAAGATTCTGAGGATTCTTAGTCAGGTTTGCCGTTGTCCTCACCACTAAAATAGAAGGCATCATAAATAGCATTAACTTTTTTTGTTTCTGTGTCCCAGTTGTTCTGTTTCAAATTCTTTGCTTTGGTGTAGTTCTGTCAGAAGTGCTGTATTTGCTAGTATTAGAAAAAAGTCCATTCTCATGAAGAACTCACATTGTGACTAATAAATTCAAATTGCTGATATTTTTTCTTATTTAGAAGTCCTTGTCAGCGTGGTCCAGTTGGAAAGCATGTGGGAGGACTCCACCCTGTTCATGTGGATGGGACCTGCCCTTATTGCTGTCTTTGCAAAGGATGCTAAATGCAACTACCTGCATGGGGCTTGAGGTTTAGACCCCAAAATGAAAGAATGGCTTAGGTCTAGAGGCAAACCACTTCTGCTCTTGAGCATGGCCTGGTAGTTACAGCCTCATCAAAATTACATGTGAACTTGGATCCCACCTCTGTGTTACCTGAGGTCCTACTGACATAAGAAAATTCATTGTTTTGTTAGTTTGTACTACTGATGACAAAAACCTCCACCACTGTGTCCACTAATAGAGAGATGAAACTTTAAAAGTAGTCAGGAACATTTGTATAGAAACCCATTAAATCTAGGTAGGCATGAATAGTTGGTTCAGTATGAGCAGCACTTTTAGCCCCTTATCCAAGTGGGATTCAGGCACTGCAGGTTGTGTATTAGAGGAACACAGGATCCAATACTCTTGGCAGGTTGTTTCTTTTTAGTAAAGACATTCCTCCAGCTCATCTTTCAATACACATTCCTTGGACCCAGTAAGTGCAGAGCAGAATCTGCAGGCTGGAATTCTTTGAACATGCTAATAGGAATAAAGCTTTAAGGAAGAGTTTGGAGTGTGATAGGAATATGGGAATGCAGAAGCTATAAAATAAGGAAGTAAACCATGGCATAACAAATGCACTCAGAGCAGAGTGAAGGAAAGGGAAGGATGTTGCCTTTTCATAAACTTGCCCAAAATACTCTGTAAGCTTGCAAACATCATTCATTTGGGCTACTTCGAGACATTGAGAGTTTTTTTCTTTTTAATATGAACTGTTGATTTTGAAATGGAGTTCTAGAGCCCTAATAAATCTAAAGTAGATTTATCTTTCAGTTACAAATAGCAAATGAAATCATTTGCATGGTAAGCTTGTATAAAGAAGAAGAGAGGTAGTCTAAGTTATAGGCTTAAGTATATGAGCCTGAAATTCCAGAGGCTTTCTTTAACCAGCTCTTATGCTAGATGTTTATGATTGTTTTCGTATCTGTTTTGTCATGGAATGTGCATGATGGGAATTACTTAACACATTGTGTTGGGGTTCACATTACATTACATTGATCAGTAGTATCTTGCTCTGTAGAAACCTTCGAAGAAAAACAAATTTGCTGAAAGATTGATGGGACGGCACCTAAAATTTCTTGCTGATAAAAACATGATGTGAAGTATGTTTGATTTTCAAAAAGATGACTACAAAGACTTAACCAGACTCTAATCTGTGAAGCTGAGCTACACCTACTTCTTCATAAGTCTGTTCTTCGGTACAGAAAACACATGCAACTGAAATTTATTTGTGTAGGGACAGTGTGAGGCTTCTCCTATAAACCACATACAAAGGTGTAAGCAGCACTAGGAAGCTGGTGATTTTTTTTTAAATAGTACTTTTTAATGAGACAGATAAGGCAGAGGTGTGTTAATACATCAACTGCCTTGGTTATTTGTAGCTTCTGGGGGATCTCTTAAGTCTGTGTTTTCACTTTTGTGATATTAAGATCCTTTTAATCATAAGGATTAAAATGTTTATTGAGTGATGTGTTAGGGAGGATTCTGCATCTTGTAGCTGTGTTTAATTAGGAAGGGATAACTAATTGAGGGGTGGAGATTTACAGAGCAGGAAATGTGTACTGATTGGCCTCTGCTTACACGTTTTGGTTACTCAGACAGGTTCACGTGAAAGCAGAGGCAGCTGACAAAGCCATCTGCTAATTTAGTCCTCTATATTTCTATTTGTCCAACTCTGTCACTTGTTGCCACA